GGCAAGGTCAGATCTTTGAGTAAGTTTTAACGAGGGAACTACGGTGCTCGTTACAAATGATTCTTAACCAATACTGTTTCCGGGAGTTTCTATTTGAAAAAAAAATTGAAGATGAAATGATCTTGCTCAAGGTCAAAGCCAAGATAACTCGTCAAAATTTACTACAGACCTGACCTTGATAGTTATTTTTATCACTAATCCTGTTATGGGAGGTTTTCCTAGCAGCACAGATTTGATCTTCAATTGACCTTTAGTAGTCATCCTGACTTAATTGCGTTTGAACGTAAAATTCTCAGTTCTTTAGACTGCAGGCATCTTAAAAAAGTGAAATTGACTGTAAATTAACCTTGGAGGTGAAGATCTAGGTCAAATTCAAAGTCACCGTTGAATTCCTTGCTGAAAGTTACTGATGACCTGAAATTGACCTTTTCCAAAAATACCTGACTCCAGAAAATACAGAGCCATTCTGGGACTTTTGTGTCACTGTATACTCGCCGAAAGGTTGTACTTTCTTCATTAAAAGTAACTTTCCGTTATTATATCGAGTACTTATTCAAGAAGTATAACGGCACGACGATAGAAGCATTACTTATTCCCCATTCTCATATATCTCGAAGTATAATCTTCTTCAGCTTTTTCTCATTATCTATCTAAAAAGTACTCACCATGTGGTCACTAATGGTGGTTACCTGCATAAATAGTTTATATACGAGAATTAAATTGAAGATAAGAGCGTTCTTACTTGTGCTGAGTTGAATCCCTCATAACATTCAATATCCATCAGTGTCACATCTAAAGGCCATCAAAACAGGTGGAGCACCCTTCTTCAGCAGTGAAACATCTTGAAGAACAGAGACACTACCTTCTCTAGAATCATCAGTGGCATCAACGTCAGGTTCGTAATACAACAAGTGCATGTCTAATTCAAGGTTGCCAGTTTTTGTGACCCTTAAATCTCCTAACCCAGATTCTCTAGCTATCTGTTGATGCAGATCCTCCAGTTGGAAACAGAAAAGTACTTTGGAGAGGATAGTTGGAAGCATGCATGAATGGATCTGGAAATCAAGTGTAGTAATAAATGCAGTACATTTCACATGTATCCCACGTGGATTCCTCGGCATACGGTTTTTTCTAACAGTGCAATAAATACTCATGTGAATTTCGAGGTCTGTAAATTAAGTGATGACACTGTTTTTTTTAATCTTATTCAAATATAATTACAATTTTACATTTTCACCCCCAAAAGAACTTGTACAGAGCCCTCACGACTGCTAAGGCAAATGATATTGTCAACTTGGGACGCCTCGAAACATTAGGAGACAGCTTCACTTCAGTATATAGTTCAATCAAGCTTCCACATTGGAATGAGGGACAAGCAACAATAGGGTATAGTCAGTGATAAGAACCTATTCTATTTCGCCATAAAGAAGAACCTGATTAGGATCATATGATGTCACAGCTTGGATGTCAAACATGATCGATATAGTACATGTTCTGTATATGTATTGCTTTCTTTCAATAAACTATATTGCATTGCTTTTTAAACAAGATTTCATGTTTTCTAAACAAACAAAAGTCGAAATATTACGTTGTTTTCGTCTGTACAAGTACGAGGTCTGTAAATTAAGTATTTAGACTAGATTAAATTTTTTTATTCAAATATTATTTCAGTTTTATATCGTCAAACTCAAAATAACTTCCTTCTGAAATCTCACAGCGCTGGAGACTGTTCTTACATTCCTCATAGCAGTTCTGGAACCCCGATACCGGAATAGCCTTCAGCTGGTCGGTTACAGTCCTCTGAATGTTTTCGACTGTCCCAAAAAGAGTTCCCTTGAGTTGATTTCAATGGGAAAAGAAAAAAGTCATAAGGACCCAAGTCAGGCGAATAAGGAGGCTGAGGAGCCACAGGAATATTTTTACTGGCCAAAAACTCTTTTAGAAGAGTTTTTGAATGGTGGTGCGAGTCAAATTTAACTCCTCTTCGATTCTATCGATATTTTCATCGGATCTTAAAGATGACGGCCTTCCGCTTCGTGGTTCATCTTCAACTGACTCTCTCCCTTCTGAAAATGCCTTAACACCGTTGCTTGAAATTATTGTCACTCATTTTTAGAACACAATAGAAAAAACTTTTTCACAAATAAAATTGCTACGAACAACTAAACGACTCTAGCGAGTTCAAACTTGTTTCCCTGTCTCCCCTCCAAGCCCGGCGCCTTTAGGGTTGCCAGATCGGATGCTATGTTGCCAGTCTCATCTCTTAATTCACAGACTTAGTAAGAAAGAAAATCGAAATAATCACGGTTTTGTAGTTTATCTCATAAAGAATGACATGCTGGAACACTGACCAACATTTTACAAGATTTAAATATCTGTATCTGGTACACTGTGCATGTAAAGACTTTTGGGCTTATGGACGATTTCACTTTACATATTAAGATCTACAAATACAATTCCAAATTTTTGGAAGATTTAAAGATCTTAAATGGATCTTGTGAAAATTTTTTAAAACAAATACTCGAGCTTCTAATACCTAATACAATATATTACTATAGCAATCGCATGAAGGAAAATAAATTTTCCGCCGAATTTTCTATTTTATCTACAGGGTGGCCGATATGTAACTGACTGGTTTGTATCTTGAATATTTGTGGAATGAAATAAAATACGACCATTTCTCCATCTTAATCTTTTATTGAAACTTAGAAATTATGTATGAAAAATAATACCAGACATATGTCTGCCTCTAGAAGCCGCGCAAACCTGAGCCCTGTTGATCACATTTTCCATCACTTTTTGGTAGGTTTCAGGAGGAATATTTTCAATCGCTTCCGTAATATTGTTCTTCAGCTGCTCTACAGTATTTGGTTTGATGGCAAACCTTATTTTTTAAAATTCTTCATAAAAAAATCGGGAGCCGTTAAATCCGGTGACCTTGGCCAGTTGACATCACCAAATCTAGAAATTAAACGTCCTGGAAATATGTTTCAGAAGATTCATGGTTTCCCTAGCTGTGTTACAATATGCTCCATCCTGCTGGAACCACGTGTTTTGCAGGTTACATTGTTGGATTTGAGGAGTCAGAAAGTTTTGCACCATATCACGGTAGCGCTCGCCAGTGACAGTAAGAGACACCGCACTAAACTGTGACTCGTCGTTGATGGATAACACGAGGGTTTTCTAATGCCCAGATACGATAATTCTGCTTATTAACAAATACATGGGCTTCATCACTTATTATTTATCAGTTGTCGGTAAAAATCGTTATTTTGGGTATTAAGCTGCAATATTGCCTGACTGTATTGTCGGCGACTTTCATGGTCACTAGGCTGTAGTTCTTGGGTTGACTAAATTTCGTATGTCCGCAAATGCAAGTATTTTCTTTTAAATAGTGCGTAACGACGTACGATGAACGTCCAGTTCTTGAGAACCATGTCTGGTAGACGTCTCAGGGTGCTCCACTACACTTTCACGAACTCTCTCGATATTTTCCGGAGTACGAACAGTTCAAACACCTTGGCAAGTCTTTAACTTCACCTGTTTGTTTAAATTTCAGCACCAACTGGCGAATGGTGTTGACACTGGGTACATTATTTCGACCGAAATCTTGTCGTAGCTTCCGAATCGTTGCAACAATCGACTCATTATTTAAGTAAAGCGTTTAAGCGTTTCAACAATACGGACGCATTGTAGGATCGTGTAGCGCTTCATGATGAATTGGACACATGTGCTTCAAGCAACTACTACGGCGCCACCTACTGAAATGCGTGTATCAAAAATGGCGCGCAATTTAAATCAGTTATATATTGGCCACCCTGTATTTTTGTAAGGCCCAATTTTTCAATCGCAGGTTAAGTGTAATTCGCGATTTTAAATGTCGTCGTTTGGTTGTTCGTAGCAATTTTATTGTGAAACAGTTTTTTCTATTGTGTTCTAAAAATGAGTGACAATAATTTCAAGCAACGGTGTTAAGGCATTTTCAGAAGGGAGAGAGTCGGTTGAAGATGAACCACGAAGCGGAATTCCTTCATCTTTAAGATCCGATGAAAATATCGATAGAATCGGGGAGGAGTTAAATTTGACTCCACCACCATTCAACAATTCAAAAACTCTTCTAAAAGAGTTTTTGGCCAGTAAAAATATTCCTGTGGCTCCTCAGCCTCCTTATTCGCCTGACTTGAGTCCTGATGACTTTTTTCTTTTCCCATTGAAACAACTCAAGGGAACTCTTTTTGGGACAGTCGAAAACATTCAGAGGACTGTAACCGACCAGCTGAAGGCTATTCCGGTATCGGGGTTCCAGAACTGCTATGAGGAATGGAAGAACAGTCTCCAGCGCTGTGAGGCTTCAGAAGGAAGTTATTTTGAGTTTGACGATATAAAACTGAAATAATATTTGAATAAAAAAATGTAATCTAGTCTAAATACTTAATTTACAGACCTCGTACTTGTATAGACGAAAACAACGTAATATTTCGACTTTTGTTTGTTTAGAAAACGTGAAATCTTGTTTAAAAAGCAATACAATATAGTTTATCGAAGGAAAGCAATACATATACAGAACATGTACTATATCGATCATGTTTGACATCCAAGCTGTGACATCATATGATCCTAATCAGGTTCTTCTTTCTGGCGAGATAGAATAGGATCTTATCGCTGACTATACCCTATTGTTGCTTGTCTCTCATTCCAAGTGGAAGCTTGATTGAAATATATACTGAAGTGAGGCTGTCTCCTAATGTTTCGAGGCGTCCCAAGTTGACAATATCATTTGCCTTAGCAGTCGTGAGGGCTACTGTACAAGTTCTTTTGGGGGTGAAAATGTAAAATTGTAATTATATTTGAATAAGATTAAAAAAAACAGTGTCATCACTTAATTTACAGACCTCGAAATTCACATGAGTATTTATTGCACTGTTAGAAAAAACCGTATGCCGAGGAATCCACGTGGGATACATGTGAAATGTACTGCATTTATTACTACACTTGATTTCCAGATCCATTCATGCATGCTTCCAACTATCCTCTCCAAAGTACTTTTCTGTTTCCAACTGGAGGATCTGCGTCAACAGATAGCTAGAGAATCTGGGTTAGGAGATTTAAGGGTACAAAAACTGGCAACCTTGAATTAGACATGCACTTGTTGTATTACGAACCTGACGTTGATGCCACTGATGATTCTAGAGAAGGTAGTGTCTCTGTTCTTCAAGATGTTTCACTGCTGAAGAAGGGTGCTCCACCTGTTTTGATGGCCTTTAGATGTGACACTGATGGATATTGAATGTTATGAGGGATTCAACTCAGCACAAGTAAGAACGCTCTTATCTTCAATTTAATTCTCGTATATGAACTATTTATGCAGGTAACCACCATTAGTGACCACATGGTGAGTACTTTTTAGATAGATAATGAGAAAAAGCTGAAGAAGATTATACATCGAGATATATGAAAATGGGGAATAAGTAATGCTTCTATCGTCGTGCCGTTATACTTCTTGAATAAGTACTCGATATAATAACGGAAAGTTACTTTTAATGAAGAAAGTACAACCATTCGGCGAGTATACAGTGACACAAAAGTCCCAGAATGGCTCTGTATTTTCTGGAGTCAGGTATTTTTGGAAAAGGTCAATTTCAGGTCATCAGTAACTTTCAGCAAGGAATTCAACGGTGACTTTGAATTTGACCTAGATCTTCACCTCCAAGGTTAATTTACAGTCAACTTCACTTTTTTAAGATGCCTGCAGTCTAAAGAACTGAGAATTTTACGTTCAAACGCAATTAAGTCAGGATGACTACTAAAGGTCAATTGAAGATCAAATCTGTGCTGCTAGGAAAACCTCCCATAACAGGATTAGTGATAAAAATAACTATCAAGGTCAGATCTGTAGTAAATTTTGACGAGTTATCTTGGCTTTGACCTTGAGCAAGATCATTTCATCTTCAATTTTTTTTTCAAATAGAAACTCCCGGAAACAGTATTGGTTAAGAATCATTTGTAACGAGCACCGTAGTTCCCTCGTTAAAACTTACTCAAAGATCTGACCTTGCCAGGTATTTTCGTCACTTTTTGATTTCCTAGCAGTACACTTTTGGCCTTTATTTGACGTCGAATGGTTACTTTGAACGTGAATCCTAAGACACATTTGAACAAAAAAATTCCGGTCTCTGGATTTTCGGTCATCAAATAGGCGTTTCTATTTGGAAAAATAGAGTTGACCTTGAAATTACTTTGACATGGAGGTTGCTAAATACCAGTTATTTTCGTCACTATCTCTGTGAGATTTCTAGAGTTTTTCCTAGTATCACATATATGACCTTTATTTAACGTATTTTGCTCCAGCGTTGATCTTGATGTTGAACTTTAATAGATATTCGAAATTAAATTTTCCGGCTCTTCCAACTACCGGCAACATTGATAAGGGTTTCCATTAAAAAAATTGAGTCGAATTTGGGTAAGTTTTAGCAAGGGAACTGCATGCTCGTTACAAATGATTTTTAACCGATACTATTCCTGCGGGTTTCTATGTGAAAAAAGTTACCTTGAAATGACTTTTAAGGTGAGGTTCAATGTCAAATCCAAGATCACTCATCAAAATTTACCAAAGACTGACCTTGGTAGTTATTTTCATCATTAATTCTATAAGATTCATAGTGGTTTTTCTAGCAGCACACATTTGACCTTTAGTGGTCACCATGACCTTGGTCTTCAATTCGTATTTGAAGGTAAAATTTTCCGCTCTTTCGATTGCATGCATTAAAAATAGGGATTTTAATTATTTCCTTGATAGTTATGTCCATCACTTACCCAGTGAGATTTATAGAGGTTTCCCTAGCAGCACACATTTGATCTTCATTTGACCTTTGCCATCCTGACCCTGGACTTTAATTGTATTTGAAATGAAATCCTCAGAAAGGCAATATTTTATTATATGAGAACAGAATAAGTACGTGGCATTTATAATTAACTAGTGTAATAATATTAAAGATTCAAACAAAAAACTTCATTGCTCTGTTAACCGAAAAAAAAACAATCTGAGGGACCCTGAGACATATTCCAGTCCATTCCACACAAAACAATGTATCTGTTGGCGAAAACGAACATGAGACCGAAAACTCATATTACCGTATGGACGCTAGACGAGACTATGAAGGATGTCTATAGACCACCTATATATAGATCGTGGGTTGATACTGCCTATAGACAAATTGCGCAACGGGGTCTACTAGTGTGTACTAAGCTTAAGGACTAAGACTGTCCATTAAACAAATCAGGTAAATGGTGCAAACACTGACAATCGAGCACTTCTATTATACCAGCAGGTGATACAAACATCCAATAGGTATATTCAATTATTTTTGTGAAATTCAAAATAGATGTTACAGTTATCCTTCAGACTTTCGTTGTCGAACTTGGATTTGCGGTATACTTGTTGCTTTCTCAGATTTCGTATCGGTGTTGATCGCATGTAAAAATGTTGGAAATCTTTGGAAAAAAACTATATCCGTTAGATCGTAAGTATTTTGATAATGTATGTTTCTACGAAACAAGTACAGGATGACAGGGCTATACATATTGATGTGTAGTGCAGAAGATCTGTGATTTAAACGAATCCAATATAGCAACATAAATAGACACATACTTGGGAAGAGATGCGGGATGTGTGGTATTGACTTTGAGCATCGATCGACGCATTTTCTGGACAGGACACAGGTGCACCGCTAAACAAATCTCATAAATGTCTATTTCCAATTTAGGCGTTCATCTAACATAGTGCTTCGCTGCAACACCAATCCCGAACAAATCAGTCAAGATCTACACACTTTTGAAGTTACTATTGAGCAACAAACAGAACATAAATCACTGTTTAAGTGCAATCTGTATAGCTAATATATTACTCAGACTTCGATTTGTCACGAGTCACAATGCTCATATATTCGTATAAATCGTAATAATTGTGCTGTAGATATAAGTGATGTCAAACAGAGACAGCGTTTGGAATACCAAAGGATACCAAAAATGCTCAGTTCCTATAGTTATTATGCCCCTGTCGCCAAGATGTGTCAGAAAGGAACATAATAGCGTTAGATTACAAAAGCAAGTGTCAGTACGTCCCACGCCCCCTCCCCTAAATCCACCACTGCTACCGTTGAATTCCTTGCTGAAAGTTTCTGAAGACCTGACCTTTGTCTTTTCCAAAAATACAGAGCTGTTCCGGGACTTTTGTGTCACGCTGTATCTCACTCGTTTTGGTTAGTATTTTCCAAGATGCCCGTTTCGCCTGTCTCCAAGACTGGACCTAATACCCATACCTTACTAATGAGCATGAAATAACGCTGTCTCCGGTTGGTCATGGTTACAGGAGATGGAAAACAAACATGCCCATTTCAGCCAAGATAAGTAATGTACTGTTATTTTGCGTAGGTACATAACGAAGATATCCAGTTTTCTATCAACAGTCCAGTCAAGAAACAACGAGCGTTGGCTTTGAAGTACTACAAGGATTATAGCTTCAAAGATATTAAATTACATAAAACATTTGAAGGTAATCTATTTGGCCTATGTTGAAAATATGAAAGGAGAATGGGCAAACATAGATGTTTGTTAGTATCCAAGCCAAAAGCAAAGCATCATTTGAAAGTTGTTTTCATGTTAAACAAGAAATACCGTTTCATGTTATCTATTTTTAGGTGATTGCTATCATTATTTTATACCTAATCAGTCGGTTATTTTTAGTTTTCTTTCTAACTTGAATGTTTCCTTTCAGGATGTGCAAGTGAATTTCAAGATATCATTGGATTTTTCTAGGAGCACCTCTGATCTTTCTTGAGTTGGATGTCATTTTGTCAAGGGCACAAAATCCACATTTTATGTCTCTTGTAGTTTTTGTACACTGCGCTTATTTGTCAAAAAAGAAACATCCCCGAAACGGCATGTTCTAATTTAGTTTTCCATAAAAAAACTGAACTTTTTTTATTTTCTCTCAACAAGTAACATAGCTACGTAAAAAGTTGAAGATGCCCAGAAAGTTACTTTAATTTGTTTTATCAAATGAGAATCTCAAATACATGGCATACTTGTAAAACTTCCAAAACACCCGAGCAATATAACAATGTATAGCGTAGAAAGACTGATTCAAATCTACGACAAACCCTCGTTAAAATAATTGTAGAGTAATTTAAAATATATTTGGTCAAAATCAATATCTGAAATATTTTGGGTCACATTGTATTCTGAAAGCGTGACGTTTTTCGACCTAAGGTAGGTGGACTATGGAAGACCATGCATATTAGTAAATCTAAGAATGTATTTGTGGTAACAGTTTCAAAACAATTTTAATTAGTTTTATATCGAGATCAAATCAGTTGTCAATAACCTTTATAATTTTCTCTGAAATACAGTTTAACCGACCAAAATGGCTTTCTTATGTAAATCCAAAATTTTCCAGATGTCATTACCAATCTTCAATTGAAAAACAAAGAGAGTAACAGTGTATTTACTTGAAGACTTACGTTTTGCTGTGAGATTATAATGTTATCTTCTTGAGTTCGATGGATGTAAGTGAAGGAATTTGTCATTGCAGCACAATAACTACGAGTTTTTAGTAATAATTGGGCTTACATGGTGCATGGCCTTCCATGGCCCACCCACCTTATATTGGAACGCATCGAAACGTTTGGAGACAGTTTCCTCAAAATAATCACCTCAGTTTACATTTCAAATCAATTTTCCTCATTGGAATGAGGGGCAAGCAACAGCCCTCAAGGGTCGTATAGTCAGCAATAAGAACCTATTCTATCTGGCCAGAAAGAAGAACCTGGTATGGATCATACGATGTCACAGCTTGGATAATGTCAAACATGATTGGTTAGTACATCTTCTGTATATGAATTGCGTCCATCGACAAATTATATAGTATTGTTTTTTAAACAAGATTTCATATTTTCTAAACAAACAGAATTTCGAACAGAAATTATTTGTTGGTTCCGTCTGTACAGGTGCGGGGTCTGTCAACTAAATGATGAGACTGTTTTTAATTTTTTCAAATTCCGAAGTCACACAGCGCTGGACGGTTCGTCCGCTACTTGCTACTAGCAGTGCTATAACTCTGATACTGGAATATCCTTCAGCTGGTCGGTTACAGTAGTCTGAATGTCTTCTACTGTCATCGGAAAGAGAAAAGTCACAAGGACTCAAGTAAGGCGAATAAGGAGGCTGAGGAACCAGATAAATGTCTTAAGTGGGCAAAAACTCGTTTATTGACATTGCTGTGTGACAAGGAGCATTGAACGTGATGCTACACCCAGTT